ATATGAAGAAGTTATGCCCGTTTGAAGTTGAACGGTTGGCCTGGGCTGATGAGGAGAAGCAGAAGGCCCTCCAGATGACCAAGGCTCGATACATCTCTGAGCTGCGCAAACTCCGCAACGCCCACAAGGCCGAGGTGGACAAGAAGGTCGAAGACGCTAAAGACCGCGGGTACACGGAGGGTGAAAGGACTTATGAGCGGCAAGTTCAGGCGACCAATGACATCTTTTTCCAGTGCGGTTGGAAAGCCGCCGTGGAAAAACTTGGCCTTGGTCAAGACGCCGAAGTGTTCCAAAACCCACCCGTTGCCTTCATTCCGGTCTATATGCAGGCTTATGCAAGTGCCGTGCAGAAAAGGCTGATAGAAGAGACGAAGCAAGCAGCTGAAGAAGAAGCATCCACCGTGCAACCAACCAAGCAAAATCTTTTTGAGGTCCTCGAAGTTGCTGAGGATCGAGAGGCCGAGTGGGAGGTTGTCGTGGTGGTTGAAGCTGCGACAAATGAAGCCGATGTGGGAGTGGCCGAACAAGATGCCCTTGTAGATTTAGATTGATCTTCTTTTGTATTTTTTTTTTTTTTAATGTAACCGGGCTTGGCCCCATTTTTGTAATCTAACTTGCTTTATCAATGAAAATTTCAACTTTTTTCCCGTCATGTGTCCATTTCTGTGCGGTTGTGATTGTCTCGGTTATAATGTGTAAATTTTCTTCGAGTTGAAATGTTTGTCAACTTTTAGCTCGGTTACAAAGTTTGTGAGGAGCAAAATCAGCTCGGCCCTTACACAAATTGGGCAAAATGCCAACTTATTTGTCGGGCGAGCAAAATTAGCTCGGCCAATTGGAAGTTTGTCAAAACGCCAACCTTACACGCGGACGAGCAAAGTCAGCTCGGCCCTTTGCAATTTGGTCAAAACGCCAACATTTCATTTGGGCGAGCAAAATCAGCTCGGCCCTTTCAAGTTGGTCAGAACGCCAACATTTTACACGGGCGAGCAAAGTCAGCTCGGCCCTTACAAGTTGGGCAGATCGCCAACATTTTACACGGGCGAGCAAAGTCAGCTCGGCCTTTACAAGTTGGTCAGAGCGCCAACATTTCATTTTAGGCGAGCAAAAATCAGCTCGGCCTTCATGCAATTTGGACAGAACACCAATTGTTTGTACGGCCTGTCTCTAAACCGGCGAGAAAAAGTCAGTTCGGCCCAGTGTAAGTTGGTCTTCTTGCCCCTGGCATCCATAGTGGCCCAATATCCTTATGATGTCATTGTACAGAAACACATAATATAAGAAAAAAGTAGGGCTATCTTTCATTACATGTCAGCGATTTACATCAAATGCCAAAAGGCTAAAGGTTCAAAAGGTTATGTAACAAAAACGATTACATTTCAAAAGTAAAAAATCTTAAGATTAGCTGCATTCCATGGCCTGGAAATAGCTTTACCATCTAAGTCTTCCAGATGGTATGCCCATTTGCCTGCAAGGCCAGTCACCTTATACGGCCCCTCCCAATTTGCACCGAGCTTGCCTTCGTCCGGGATCATGGTGTTGCTCATTACCTTTCTCAAGACCCAGTCTCCAATCCTGAACAGCCTTGGATGCACGGCCTTGTTGTATTTCCTGGAGAGCTCTTGCTGATAGGATGCTATGTGGATCAGAGCCCGTTCCCTCCTTTCTTCAGCTAGGTCAAGTTTCAAGGCCACTGCTTCATTGTTTAAGTCTGGCTAAAAACTTTCAGACCAGATGGTTGGCATGCCGACTTCCAGTGGGATGACGGCCTCCATGCCATAGGCCAAGGCGAATGGTGTTTCCCCGGTCGAGGGCCTCGGCGTGGTACGGTATGCCCAGAGCATATTGGGGAGTTCTTCAACCTATTTTCCTTTGGCTCTCTCTAGCTGCTTCTTCAGCTCGTCCATGATGGTCTTGTTTGAGGCTTCTGTTTGAACATTTGACTGAGGGTAGGCCGGTGTTGAGTTGTAGAACTTGATCTTTAACTCTTCGCAAAATCCGCAAAAGAGTTTCCTATCAAACTGAGTGCCATTATCTGATATGAGGGCCTTCGGTATACTAAAGTGAGTGATGACATTTTGCCAGACGAACTTCTTCACATCTTTTTCTTTTATGGTCGCCAATGGCTCGGCCTCAACCCACTTGGTGAAGTAGTCGGTAGCAGCGATGAAGAACTTGCGGTTGCCCGGAGCTGCTGGGAGTGGTCCCACAATATCCAACCCCTAAAGCACGAACGGCCAAGGACTTGTAAGGGGGAGCAATTCTCTAGCCGGTTGGTGGATTTTGTGAGCAAATTTTTGACATTTTTCACACTTGCGAACATATTTTTGCGCGTCCGCCTGCATGCACGGCCACCAATAACCTAGGGAAATCGTTCGGTAAGCCAAAGACCTGCCCCCAGTATGACTCCCGTAGATGCCTTCATGAATCTCATAGAGGAAAGCTTCCACCTTGTTGGGGTGGACGCACTTCAGATACGGCCCAGTAAAAGGCTTCTTGTATAAGGCTTCGAATGAAGAGAGCCAAAACCGCTCTGATTTGGCCCGGATTTTGTTGGCCACCTTCTTCTCTTCTGGCAAAATTCTATCTTTTAGGAAGACGATGATGGAGTCCATCCAGGATGGTCCCAGGTTGGCGCAGAGTACTTCAGACACTTCTGGTTCTTCAATGTTTGGCCGAGATAGGAATTCTATCATCAAAGGATTGAGGAATGCTGTTTGTGTGGATGCAAGGTCGGCCAGTTCATCAACCTTATTGTTGTCTTCGCAGTTGATTTGTTCCACTCTTATTGCGGCAAACTTTTTGATTTCTGCGCGCACCAGCACCTGATATTTGGCCATTCTTTCATCTCTGGTTTCATATTCCCCAGAGACCTAATTGACCACTAGCTTGGAGTCACTATATACCATAAGGGACGACGTTTTCATTCTTAATGCACTTCTCAATCCGGCAATGAGGGCCTCATATTCCGCCTCATTATTGGACGCAGGGAAGTCGAGCGTAATTGCTTGTTCGATAACCAGCCCGTCCGGGGAAGTCAGCACGATGCCCAGCCCGGCGCCATGTTTGTTAGAGGCCCCATCGACGAAGAGGTTCCACATCTCGCCAATAAATGACTTCCAACAGTCTGATGAGTTTTGGGAGCTTCTTAGCTCCAAGGTACTGGTCGGTTCATTCTGGTCTCTTTCCATGTCTCGGTTGGTCTTGTCCTTCAATGGGTTATCCGGCTTCTCCACTTCGGCTTCCATTTGCCCTTCTTCCATTTGCGATCCACCACCTGCGCCTATTGCCTGAACCATGGGCTGTGTTGTGCCAAATCCACGCCAGCCAAATCAACCAAGCAAACAAGATGAATCCCAGGGGCAAACTCCGCCACAAAGTCTGCAAGAGCTTGAGCTTTGATTGCGGTACGCGGTTAGAACTTGATGTCGTATTGTCCCAATTCCACGGCCCATTTCAAAATTCTCCCGATAAAGTCCGCCTTTTCAAAGAGCACCTTTAGTGGAAACTTGGTTAGCACAACTATTGTGTGGACATGAAAATAGTGCACCAGTTTTCTGGAAGCCGTCATCAGGGCCAGGGCCAATTTTTCTAGCGGCAAATATCTTAATTCAGCCGGGAGCAAGGTCTTGCTTACGTAGTAGATGGGAAGGTGCTGGGTACCTTCAGCACGGACTATGACGGTGCTCACCGCATGTTGAGAGACTGCCAAGTAGAGATACAGTTCTTTGCCCGACCTTGGCGTAACTAGGACAAGGGCTGAGGAAAGGTATACTTTGAGATCCGCCAATGCACGGTCATATTTGTCATCCCAGGAGAACTTGGCCTTCAAAGTTTTGAAGAAAGGCCTGCAACAATCTGAAGACCGGCTTATAAATCTGTTTAGCGCGGCTGCCATCCCGGCAAGATGTTGCACGTCCTTTGTGGAGTTTGGGTGCTCCAGCTCTTGTATCGCCTTGATTTGGGAAGGGGTCGGCTTCAATTCCTCGGTTTGTGACTAAAAATCCCAAAAACTTCCCGGTGCCAACTCCGATGGCGCACTTGGAAGCGTCCAAACGCAGTTTGTGCTGTTTAAGTGTAACGAACATCTCTGCTAGGTTGGCGAGGTGTTAAGACTTTTCCTTGCTCTTTACCACCATATCATTGATGTAAGCTTCCATGGTGCAGCCCAGAAGGGGAGCGAACATCTTGGTGACCATTCTCTGAAACGTTGCCTTGGCATTTTTCAGCCCGAACGGCATGACTTTGTAATAGTACAGCCCTCTTGGAGTGGTGAATGAAGTGATCTCTCGGTTTGGTTTATACATGGCTATCTGGTGGTAGCCCCGATACGCATCCAGGAAGCTAAACCTCTGATGGCCAGTTGTTAAATCTACCAGCTGGTCGATTCTCGGGAAGAGAAAGCTATCTTTTGGGCACGCACGGTTGACCGTCTTGTAATCGACGCACACCCGCCATTTACCGTTTTTCTTCGACATTACTACCATGTTAGAGATCCACCTTGGGTACTGTACTTCTTCTATCGCATTTGCCTTTAGCAGGTTCTTTACCTCCTCCACCACTATCTCGGCATGGTGCAAGGCTGAGCGTTGCGTCCTTTGGATGACCAGTCGTGCATTCGGGTAGACATTCAACTGATGGCAAATGAAGTTAGGGTCGACGCCAGGCATATCGTAAGGCGTCCACACAAAAGCTTCTATGTTGGAAACCAAGAAGTCGACATATTCTAGTCGCTCAGCGCTGGACAAGGATGATCCCAAAAGAAAGAGCTTAGTTCGATCGTTCTCGTCGATGCGTACCTCCACCAAATCTTCAACCGATTTCTCCTCGGCCTTTCTTCCTACGTCTTCCCGAACTTCCTTTCCTCCCGGACCCTCTATCATTTGAACGAAGCCTTTGGCAGCTCGGCCGCCGTTCACCGCAACGAAACACTGTTTTGCCATTACCTGGTCTCTCCAAACCTCTTCTACTTGCCCGGTTAGCGCCGGGAAGCGCAGAACCTAGTGGTAGGTCGACGCTACTGCTTGTATGGCGTGTAACCAGCCCCTGCCCAAAATTAAGTTGTAGGTCGATGGAACTTTAAGCACCCAAAACTCCACTTGCTTCGTGACTGATCCCGCTCTGACCGGCAGTATGATCTTTCCGATCGGCCATTCTGGTTGAGAGTTAAAGCCGACCAATGGAGACGTTGCAGGGGCCAAGTCCTTCTCCTCTAACTTCATTTGTTTGAATGCGTCATAATACATGATCTCGACTGAACTCCCCTGGTCAATCAAAATCCTCTTGATGTCGAAGTTTTTGACGCGAAGAGTCACTACCAAGGCGTCGTTATGGGGCATTTGAATTTTGTCCAAGTCCTTACTTGAAAAGGTAAGGACATCCTTCTCATCTGTTTTTCCCTTCTTTACAGTGGGTTGAACGAAAAGCACCTCCCTCATGTGCTCGGCTTTCTTAATCATCCCTCTCAGCTTGCAGACCCTTGCCGGTTCAATGATGCCATGGATGACATTGATTACGCCTTGTGGCGCTGTGTCCACGGCGACTAGGCCTTTTGGTTTGTTTTGTCCTAGTGGAGCGGCTTTCATGCCCCCATCTATGTATTGATCTAGATGTCTCGTAGCCACTAGCTCCTCCAAATGCTGTTTGAGTGGCAAGCAATCCTCTGTTCGGTGCCCCTGTTCCTCATGGAATGTGCAGCGATATCTTGAGTTGAAGCCTCTCTGTGCACTCCCCAACTTGGGCGGCCAACGAATGAAAGGTTCACCTCGGATTTCACTCAGGATGTGGTAAATTGGGATTTTAAAGACCGTGGTGATACTAGTTCGCGCCTTCAACTTTCTCTTGACATCTTCCTCTTCATCACGGGGGGCGTTAGCTCAGTCGTTTCTGCGACCTATGTTTCTATCATCGCGATTTGAGCCACGGCGTTCATTTTTTGACCCGTCGTTTGGGCGGTTGTCCTCCTGCCCGACCGAGTGAACCTTCCCCTCCATTCTTCTATTCGCCGTGATTGGATTAGCCTTTTTGGTCGTAGAGGCGGCATCATCCTCCACACGGATGTGTTCATTGATCCGTTGCATCAAAGACTTCATGGTTGTAGGCTGGTGCATTGTAAGCGAATCTCACAGCCTATGTCCGACTGGGAGACCTCGCTTGTATTGAGTAATCGCCAGATTGGTGGGGCAGTCAAGGATCTCATTGTAAGCTTCCCAATACTTCGCATTGTATGCCTTCAATGAACCTTCAGACTCCATCTTGACGCCCAGGAGATGGTCGACCTCCTTTGGTGTTCGAGTGTTGGTTTTGAATCTGGTGACGAAGGCATCCGCTAATTGCTGTCATCCCTCGATACTCCCTTTCGGAGGCCTTTCGAACCATTTCAGGCCCAGTTCTCCTAAACTTGCTGGGAATATGCAGCACATCAAGGCGTCATTGCGCCAGTGTCCAGCCATTACTTACCAGTAATGACTTACTTGCATGTACGGATCCGTCTTGTTGTCGTACAAGGTGAACTTAGGCAGGTGGAATCCGGTAAGGAGTGATGTACTATCGATCTCTAGAGACAGCGGCGTAGCTGTAAGTCTTGCCAGCTCTTTGTCCACAAGCGCTGGGGCCACCACTCTGGGCGCTGGCTGTCACAGCCCAAACCCGCCCCTATGGGTTTAGCACCGTAACCGGCCAATAATCCGAGATTACCGAAGGCCTGCTTAACAGTAATACAGTAAAACAGAGTACAAGGACATGGCGGAAGCCAAAACAGTAAATAAACAATGTCCAATGAGCCATGACAGTCTGTATGCCAAAAAGACTTTTCATACATATATGCAGTCGGTGACAAAACAGTATGTACATTGTATACAATCATTCAAAACAGGGACTTAGTCCCTATTAAACAGTACAGTACAGTCTATACAGTTCTACACAGTTATTACAAAACAAATGTAGAAACAGATAGGGGAATTTAAAACACCCCTAAGCCATAGCTTGATAGGCTCGGAACCTCGCAGTGAGGCACAGTGGTTGGCTTGACAAAACTAGAGTTACCCCGACCCTTCTAGCCACGGTCTGGTGCCTGTACACCTACATATATATATGAGCAGTGAGCTAAAGCCCAGTGAATAACACATTGCGTAAAGAGGTTAAGAATGAATGTCCTTATAGTAATGAAAGCAGTTCATTGATTCAGTATATCAGTCATTCAGTCATATGTGGTACATCCATTAGCATAACAGTACAGTAAACGGTAGGTCTTAAAAGACCGAACAGTAAATGATGGCCATCAATCAGTAAACAGTAGTGGTTCCAACAAGGGAACCGACAGAGATCTCTGTAACAGTAATAGTCAGTAATAGTAGTTGCTAAGGATGCCACAATATAGTTCAGAATAGAGGACATACATTCATTCTATTAACAGTATCGATTCAGAAACAGTACAGTTCAATTGTTCAGAAGATAATCATTTTGAATATATCTTTACGTAGTTGTTACTCACAGAGTTCTGGGCTACAGTAAAGCTAGAGTACATCCCCAGTCGCCAACCCTACACAGTATACAGGTAGAACACACACTAAGCTACACAGTTGGGAAAGATAATAACTTAATCCCTAATTTGCCTCGGCGTGGTTCTACATCTATATCCTCATTAAGATGCCTTAAACTAGACCTAAGAATGCCTAGGATGAAATGAGGATGCAAAAATGCACTTTAAAAGCTTTTTCAGAATTTTCAGAAAATAGGGGTCCCGCTCGAGCGTCGATTTCTTCGCTCGAGCGGACATGTAGACAAATGTTTCTGCTCGAGCGCAGACTTACCCGCTCGAGCGTAATGCAAAACAGTCAAAAGTGCTGGATAGGTGAAATTCATGCTCGATTGGGTGCTCGACACCCGCTTGAGCGTAATACATATGGTCCTACTCGAGCGTAAATTACCCCGCTCGAGCTGACTCAAAAGCAGAACAAAATGCTGGGAGCATGATTTCCACGCTCGAGCGCCAATCACCCCGCTCGAGCGTGAGTTCAAAATCTGGAATTCCCAGATTCGAACCTCAAGCTCAAAATCAAATTTCAAACACCAAATTCAATCCTTTTGGACTCATTTTCTGGAAAACATTTCAAAACTCATAGTTAAACAGGATTCAAAGCTCAATTTGTAAAATCAAAGCCCAAAGGAAGATCAATTAAACTCATTTTCAAACCAAATTTCAAGAACATAATCCAAGCATGACATGCATGAGTTAAAACCACTTCAAAGCTTCAATGCTAGTTCCAATGAGCCAATTCTTTTCAAAACAAGATGAAATCATGGACTTAAACATAATATGAACACGCATGTAACACTTTGCCATGAAAACAACTTAAAATGCAACAATACAAACATGCATGCATGAAATGAGCTTCAATTCAACATGCTAGAACTAAATAATGACTTAGCTCTTTAACTTGACATGAACCATGCAAGAATCAACTTAAAGACACAATTAAGAGGATAAAATTCATACCTAGGTTCCATAAATACAAGTCTAGAGGCTCAAGTAGGCAAATCTCTTACTATTTCTTCCAATTTCCAAGCAAATCAACAAGTTGAACTCAATCTCTCACTTCCTCTCTCTCTTGGTCGGTTATGGCTCAAGGAAATGAGCTGAAGAAATGTTTTGTTGAATGATTAATAAGGCTCAAATATGTTATAATAAAGGGCCCACTCACAGTGGCATTTCCGTAAATAAAGCAACTTGTTTAGTTTAGCTTATTTTAATCTAATTTAATCATACTAAATCCCATTTCAGATAAATACATCATTAAATCACATAAATTCTACCGATCATGAAACACTAATCAATTTCTGGTTCTGCCGCCGATAAGGCCTTCAATTTGCAGTTTAAACATAAAAACATAAACAGATAATCAAACAGTCAAACAGATAGAAATGCAATTCAAACAGATATATTCAATCAATCAGTTTCAGATTTCAGTCAGTCAGTTCAGTATTTCAGTCAGTTCAATTACTTATCATAATCAGTCTCAGTTTAGCAGTAATCGGTAATTTATCAGTGAACAGTGGTGAGGGTTGTTACAGTCTCACCTCCTTAAAAAGAGTTTAGTCCTCTAAACTCGAGTTACCTTCAGTCTGGAAGAAAACAGGATTCAGTGGAAACAGTTCAGGGTATCTTTTGGCCATGTCCTCTTCCCTTTCCCTTTTCCAAGTGGCATACACGCCACTATGGTTTTGCCAGTCGACTTTCACTAACGGGATCTCTTTGTTTCTCAACTTCTTGATCCATCTGTTTACAATCTGAATAGGTCGTTCCTTGTAAGTGTAGCCATCACTCAGCACTACACGAGTAGGCTCTATCACATGGAAAGGATCCCGGAGGTAATCCCTCAACATAGAAATGTGGAAGACGTTGTGCATATGCTCCATTTCATGAGGAAGCGCAACTTGATATGCCACCGGATTGATTTTCTCAATAATCTCATACGGTCCGACATATCTCGGCGCTAGCTTGCCTTTGACTCCAAAACGACTCTGGTCTTTCATCAGTGTCACTTTCACAAAAACGTGATCACCCACTTCATATTCTCTGTCCCGTCTTCTGACATCTGCATAACTTTTCTGTCTGCTCTGTGCAGTTTTCAGTCTCTGTTGTATCAGTTTCACTTTCTCAGTCGTTTCATATACAATCTCGGGCCCAAGCAAAGGCCCATCTCCAACTTCTGCCCAGCAAATCGGAGATCTACATTTCCTGCCATACAATGCCTCAAAAGGCGCCATACCAATACTTGAATGATAACTGTTATTGTAGGCGAATTCAGCCAATGGCAAATGGCTTTCCCAGTTTTCCTGAAAATCAAGAACACACATTCTCAGTAAATCCTCCAGAGTCTGGATGGTCCTTTCTGACTGGCCATCTGTTTGAGGATGATAAGCACTACTCAGTCTCAATTCAGTACCCAATGCAATCTGTAGGCTTTGCCAAAATCTCGATGTAAACTTCGAATCTCTGTCAGAAACAATGGACACAGGCACTCCATGCAGTCTAACAATTTCATCAATTTAAATTACAGCCAATTTGTCCGCATTATAAATTGTTTTGACAGGTAAGAAGTGAACAGATTTAGTCAGTCTATCAATAATAACCCAAATTGAGTCCATACCTTTACTGGAACGAGGCAATCCCACAATAAAATCCATGGTGATATGTTCCCACTTCCACTCTGGTATGGGTAAGGGCTGCAATAAGCCTGCGAGTCGTTGATGTTCGGCTTTAACTTGTTGGCAATGAAGACATTTTGATACAAAATCAGCAATTTCTTTCTTCATTCCCGGCCACTAGAAATTCAATTTCAAATCTTGGTACATTTTCGTGTTCCCTGGATGGATAGACAGTTTTGAATTGTGGTCTTCTTGCAAAACTCTTCTTTTCAGTTCAGTATCATTCGGTACACACAGTCTTTCTTGAAATTTCAGTACATTATTTTCAAATTTGAAACCCGGCCTTGGTTTAGATTCCCTTTCTTTGATGATCTTCTTCAAGAAGTCATCCAGTTGCTGTTTCTCTTTAATCTCTTCAATCAGTGCTGGTTGAGCAGAAATAGCAGCTAAGGTTCCACCTTGTTCTCGCAAAACGATTTCAATTTTAGATTTTTCAAGGTCACAAAACAATTCTTTCTGCCCGGTAAGCAAACAGGCTAAATTTCCAATTGATTTCCGACTTAGTGCATCGGCAACGGTGTTGGCTTTTCCTGAATGGCACAAAATCTGTAGGTCATAGTCTTTAATCAGTTCTAGCCATCATCGCTGTCTCATGTTCAGTTCTTTCTATGTGAAGAAATATTTCAAACTTTTGTGATCGGTATATACTTCACATGTCGCCCCATATAGGTAGTGACGCCAGATTTTTAGTGTAAATACTACTGCAGTAAGTTCCAGATCATGGGTTGGGTAATTCTTTTCGTGCGGTCTCAGTTGTCGGGAAGCATAAGCAATAACTCTCCCATTCTGCATTAAAACACATCCCAAACCCTTATGAGAAGCATCACTAAATACAGTAAAACCATCCGTACCTGAAGGTAGGGTAAGAATCGGTGCAGTTACA